ATTGTTGATAGGGCTATGTGGGGCTGATGCTGGTAGGGTTGTCCGTTCGTTCGTTCGCTTGTTTATTTTTCAATTATCGTGGTTCTTTTGCTATACATAAGCTTTTTATAATACTTGCTGTACTGCTCCCCTTTTATGTCCTACCCGAATAAACCCCTATTACCGGCGGTTCCGTAAGATATTATGCTGGGGTGAGTGGCGATCTTAGGTACACTACATAACCTGCTGGTGTCATTTATCCCTTTCTGAAGCGACAAAAATCAATCATATCCCCGGTAGAAATTCTGCCTTGTTGCATACATAGCAGGTTATAGTGGTGGAGACTTGCACAATGAAGATTTCATTCCTCTCGGCGAGGTCGGATCTAGTTGAATGGAGATAATTTCCAGCGCGGTAATTGGTCGGATATACGCATATTTGATCTACGCCTAAGTCTGTTGCAACAATGTTGTTCGTTTCATGAGCCCAGGAGTACGCAGGTGTAAACATTTAGGCGTCGCTCATGTTGTTTTCTTATGTACCTTGTTCGTGGGAAGGCGGGTTGACCACCGGTATGGTCGGTAGCAGTGCCCCTGCGAGAGCCAGATCAGGGCACAATATCCCTTAATCCGACTGTGAACCCATAGCTAGGGACTCATTCTGCGTCAGCCACTGGCTTCCAATCCCTACGTCAGATGCTTGACTGGCTCCGACAATGGACTGATGCCTGGGGAAGGAGAGGGAGATTGGGGTTGATTCTGCGGCCTGCTCCCTCCCCCCCCCACCTACCCCCACAGCATTCACGATAGACATAAGGACGCGAATTTAGACTATCGCAGGGTGTTAAAGGCCGTGGTTTGCAGGGCTGCTAACTTACGGGATGAGTCACTGCCCCTCTCACATCAAAAAGCCAGGCTCCTTCTTGACGTGGTCGTTTCATTTTTTGTCTGCGTGAAAATCTGACGCATTGTGCGCGGATCAGCTGTGTGTAGCACGCGTAGAGATAGATATAGTTCTATTCCCGATCGAAACCGGCAAGACAACGACCCCGTGGCACAATGTTAGACTTCTAACTAACAAGGTCGCGAGCTCGAGCCTCGGATGGCGCACCACTTGGGGTTAGGTGTGGCTGGCTGACGACGGCTAATAAGCCAGAAATGGCCATTCCAGTCACCCCTGACCTTGTCGGTAATGTCTTTCTGTCCATAGTTCCATTTGTCCGCTAATGGTCCCGAAGCCACCTCCAGTATTCTGGGCTCTTTCATGACACCAGACCCAGGTGCGCGAGGAGGGTGAGAGTGCGATAGACGCGGTGAAAGTCTGTCTCAGTACAAACTAATTTACGCACAAGTCACCGTCCTTTCGTTTGTCTTGACGTGTGACATACAGCCGATAGCGTCCTTCTCGACAGTCAGTCCACAGCAGTCTATACCAGTGCGCCTCGCCTACTCGTTGTATCCTTTATTTACATTTCTGTAGGACACTCGTACATGACCCTGAAGTCGTTTTTTTGTGACCAGGGTGCTCTCCCTTAGTGGGTCAAATCGTTATTAGCGAACCTCGTTACGTATTAGGTCTATCGACTTCATAAATAATCGAAACTTGTGTCAAACCACTGAATAGGTAGTTCAGTCACATTTAAATTGGGGGATGATGATAGGGTTGTTGTTGATGATGGCGATTATAGTGGTGGCGGCGTTGTTGTTGGTGCCACTAGGTCGAAGAAACTACATTTCTTAAATTTGGTTACTAGCTGGATTTAAACGAATCCTTTTTGATGTTTCAGCTCTGTGACTGGGACCCGGATCACGTTATAATAACTGGCGGATCGGACGGTGTCGTACGAATGTGGGGCTTGGATTACATTCGTGAAGACTTAGAGGCCTCTGAGACGCCCGCTGAAGGCGCTGCGACTTCCGACACTGCCAAGGTAAGTGAACCGCCAAGAGGAATACGTCTCTCTTATGCTATCTCTCCCTTCTGCTAACGCTAGCGCCACATCTAAACTATCCAGTTTATATTTCCCTTCAATCGCCGTCTTGACTAAAGGAAGTTGGAGAAGCCTCTTCGTTCCGACGAGGTCCTTCTCTTCTTAATCAAATATCTAGGGATGTTCGTTTTCCAGTAAATATATGTACCTAGCACCTAGGCTATTATGGTTAATTACAACATCAATGTGTACTACTAAAGCCTGCCCGTTGGCAGTAAGTGCATATTTCGCAGTGGTTGGCGAGTTCCAGCCTGAATATACACTTACAATTTCGGTCTACGCCCATAGATCTTAAATATACTGCTGTATACCGCGAACAGAAATTAATTTCTCCGGAAATTAAAAAGCCGAAATATATGTCTATACTGCAGTTTATCATGCGTATCCCTTGAACGATTTTCCTCCCTTTTAGACCCACGTCTCTAACATTCACTCGATTGACCCGCCAACTCCCCCGCCTGGTAGGTGCTAAATCCAGGAAAATGTTTGTCTCTATTCTCTGTCAAATAATAGCTAGTGTGGCATTTCGTTGTGTTTTATTGTTTCTTTACGAGTTGGTAACGATGATTAGAAATACTGCCGGCCAGGGTCATCTTTGGAGAAATTTCCTCTTAGGTTAACACACTCTCTATCTATCTCTGTCCCAACTCATTCAAGAGATTGCATATTAAGTGAGCTCCTAGCGATCAATTGGATCACTACGCGAACGCCTTTTTCGTCGTCTGCTAAACCTTCCACCAGTCACAACCGTGGATTCTTGTTCAACAACAAAACGAAAACCCTCTCCAACAAATAATAAATACAACTGTATACAATGGTATTTAATGGTATTTACCGACAAACGGAGAGCACACTCACGAAGG